GGGTCTAAATGGTCGCCGGCCCTAAGATGCTCAACCCTAATGAACTCCCTAAGTACTCGTGCTTGGAACCTTTCCTGGATCTGCAAAATTCCTCATTCCCGAAATTTTCAAAGAGCATCAAGCCCATCCAAGAGTAATAGTGTCTGGGCCCTACCTACCTTCCTGCAAAATCCTTCCAACCCTCCCAGTGGATTGCAAAGAAAGCTGGAATCCCCCAACATTACTGCTTATTTGAGATCTCTTGGTCCAACAGCTGTCACGGTCATGTAACCAAATAACCAAAATCGTTCATTTGTTTTTTTTTATTTTGAACCCACTTTTTTTGTGAATTACAGTCAAACCTCATTAATAAGAGCATCTTGCAAGAGCTTCTTGTCCTCTGTTGTTAAAAATCCATGGTGGAATGTAGAAACTCACACTCTCCAATAAACACTTACTTTTTTAGTTACACCTCAGTACACATTTGGTACATGCATTTAAATTGAAAACAAATCCCAATTTCCTCTTTGTCAGAATGTGGAGGGAAGATGCATCTTCGAGAGTGTGAATACGAGAAGGCCCACACGGACTTCTTTGAGGCGTTCAAGAACTACGATGAATCAGGCAGCCCGCGGCGGACAACGTGTCTGAAGTACCTTGTCTTAGCCAACATGCTCATGAAGTCTGACATCAACCCCTTCGAATCACAAGAGGTATGGTGGCTCCTCCCCCAGTTTTGGATAACTCTTTGCCTTTTTCAAATAAAAGCTGTTACACTGTAGTTGAGGTTGTCTTCTCCCAGGCAAAAGGGTGTAATTCAACCTGCTAGTTTGCATTGTAAGTTGTGTGGGGAAAAATGCCCGAATGACCTTCTGCTACGCACATGCAGAGATGCCAACTTTTCAAGATGGAAAAGTGTAATCCTATTGCACTTTCAGTTCCGGTTTCCTGACCAACCATAACTTTTCGGCTCGACCCTTTTCGTCGGCAAATTAGAATAAAAATAAAAAGTTTTAAATCATGCTGTTGTCTTTTCTTTCAAAACAAACACCCCTCAATAACTACGATGTAAAAAACACTTGTATTTACCTGACTAGCATTGTTGTGTAAGTGTGAATTGTAATTGATTGTTGATTATATTTCCACATTAATTCTGGTAAGTTTTTATTTTAATCACTTTTGTGGCAATTTTTGGCAACTTTTGTCCCATTCAATCAGCACAAAAAATTGTCAACAAATCCTTACCTACCAACCCTATTTAATCAGAAGCCGAGCTATTTTTTCTTGGCCAAACTAATGTGCTTACTCAGTGCTGTAAGATCCAGCGCGGGCAATATTTATCATGTCACTATTACATATGTTGCAAAACACGTAAGCTTTTCGACGACAAGACTTTGCAATAAATACCCATTTTTGTGATGCATTAATCCCTGAACTTCAGCTCACTTGTTGCCATTGTGCAAAACAAGTCCAGTTGCTCACCAAATATCCAAGAATCAAATCCTCAACAGTTTTCCAATCCGGTCAACTTTTCACACGATGTTCGACACACGTGTGTACGATATCGTGTACAACGCATGGACGTACACAGTCATGTTGCGTATGAAGTGTAATCGTGCCTATTCACCCCCGTTCATCATAACATTAATTGGGGCAAGCAGATGATTCAACCACGCTGGTTTCTACCGCTCCTCGTGCAGCTTGTGGGATGTCAGTGATACATTTCTGACGCGCACATTACGAGGCCGGCTCCGTGCTAGCTTACGTACGTAGAGTTTATACACAACTGTATGGTTTTGTACCTTCGAGTTGAAAATCGTAAAAATCTTAGTCTGGATCGTATAGTCATAAACAGACTAAACAAATCGTAAAAATTACATCTAAATTGTACAAGTTAGCATCTCCGCTTGACATGATGAAGTTGATGATTTGTATGTTTTGTTCATGTATGTGGTTTACTATATTGGGCTTGAATTTACCACCCACTCGGTGCCGGGTTCCTGGTACCGGAGACCTTGGGTTTGTATGCATAGCCAGGACAAAGCAGCTGGGCCTTGTAACAAAAGACTGTACTCTGAACAAAAGACCAAGCTGCTGGGAATTGCCAAAGTTTTCAGCTCAGATTGCTGGCATTTTCAGAGGTACTCCGTCATTGTTTTCATCACTGTTTGAGGCATTCAGCGCCTGTGGATTATCAGCAGGGACAAAAGTGCTCCAGCACTCCAGGGATGAGTGATACAATACCGCTGCATGCTAATCTGGCCGCATTTGTAAAGACACCACTGCCATTCAGCAACGCACTGGGCCAGTTTCGGGAATAAAGGAAATTACTCAACACCACACAACCTTTGGTTCTCTTTACTGGGCGGCAGGCCTGGCTGCAATACTCAGGCGTCATGTGGGTGTAAACGTCAAGAAAATGAAGTTATGAATTTTTGAAGAGTTTTGAAAATAGAAAATCTTGAAAATCACCGAAGAACTTGTCCCGCATATATATGTAAATTCCACCCGGCAGGAAGTGGTCAAAGAGTGCAGGGTTCTATTTTCATGCATATATTACCAATGATTATCATGACCAGTTTTTGTGCAGCTGAAATCACATCTTTAGATTTTGTCCTGAATTCATTAACAGAATGTTTTCTAACTTCTTTATAACAGGCAAAACCCTACAAGAATGATCCAGAAATCTTGGCCATGACGAACCTTGTCAGTGCATATCAGAATAATGACATCAATGAATTTGAGAAGATCTTGAAGAATAACCGACGGAACATCATGGATGACCCGTTCATTAGGGAACACATCGAAGGTAAGGAAAGGGGCCCTGTACAGAACCTTGGAATATATTTCAACTGGAAAATAGTGTTAAAGAGCTCTGTTTGATGTGGTTATTTCGGAATTTGGACACTAAGCTATCAATAGTTTGGAAATAGCTGTCTTTTCTGTGCAAACATGTTTCTTAAATATCACTAAAACTGAATGTTGAAAATGCACAAACTATTGGTGTCTGCTTGTCTCAGGGAGCAGAATTACTAAATGCACGCTGGTATGTGGATACGTACATGTAGTTGGGTGGACATACAAAGTACTTGCCATTGTGTGAATTGTTGAGTCACAAATTTGTTTTAATAATTCAGTTTTGGTCTCTTTTGCAGATTTGTTGCGAAACATTCGTACTCAAGTGCTAATTAAATTGATAAAGCCCTACACAAGAATTCATATTCCCTTCATCTCACGGGTAAGTGCTGATCATTCTCTGGCATTTCTTTAGGAGTTGCATTACAGAATTCCATGAAATTTTATTTGTTTTATGTGCAGAGTCGAACCTCAGAGCAAAGTTAGCATATTTTGTTGACGTTAGCAGTGGCATTATACACATACTTCACAAACCAAACGAGAACAAGCATTCCTATTCCTAGAACAAGCATTCCTATTCCTAGAACAAGCATTCCTAGTCCTAGAACAAGCATTCCTATTCCT